TACCGTTCATATATTTAAAATTAAATTTTTTAAGGTGTATTCAATATATCCCATGGACATCCACTAAATATATCAAAGTCTAGGCGCGAATGCAAACCATGCATGGTGGATATCCACTAGATGTAATTTTTGATTTTGCCCACTAAGAAGAAAGTCATTCTTGGACCGGTTTCGTCCTTATTAGGACTAGAATTATTTCCTTTTTTAAGAATAGCCCGCCTGGCTTTTATTCCACCTAGTCTCTGAACTAGGTACTACAGCGACCTTTGATTTTGCCTTACTAAGTATAGATGGCGATACCACTTTCGCTCGTTGAATATCTACTCATGCCGAAATTGGCTTTGCAATCAGACTCCATTAGAGACTGGAGTCGGGAATTTTTTATTTATTGCAGAAGAGTCCTAATAAGGACGAAACCGGTCCAAGAATGTCACATTTGAGTTTTGAATTATTTCCTTTTTTATTTTTTTTTTATTGGTTACTTATGAACCTTTACTAAAGATACCCATAAAATATTTTGCTGAATATCCATAGAATATCTTCTATATACAGGATATAGACGGACATTTGGACATCCATATTAGATCCACTGGATATCTATAAAATATCTTGTGGATATATTCGATATCCACAAAATATATTCTGTGGATATCTCTGGGATTTCTTGTATTGTCTGGGAGATTCCCATTAGATATTTTGCTGGATATCCATAGGATATCTTCTATATTCTGGATATAGACGGACATTTGGATATCCATATTAGATCTACGGGATATTTATGATATCCTGTGGATATATTGGAAATCCACAAAAGATATTCTGCGGATATCTCCGAGATTTGGTGTGTTGTCTGGGCCACTTCTTAAGATGGTAGTCATTCGGCGCTAGATCGGGAGAATATGGCGGGTGTTCAAAAAGGTCTCATTGCCGTTGGGTTACACAAGCAATATGAGGACGGGTATTGTCCTGGATCAGAACAATTCCAGGGCCTCAATTCTCGACTTCACCGGAAAATTTTCCCATGGATACATATTCCCAGTGGTATTACAAAATGGTATTCTCGACTAGGTTAGGAACCTTTTTCCTATGGGAATTTCGATTATTCGTATGTCTAACGTATGTCGGGTATTAAGTACGTAAATATTGGAAACTGACCAATCATAATCAATATTATATTTCAATACTTTCAAGTAGTAATATTGGGATCATTGATTCTATCGTCAACTTTTGACTCTTGTTTTGCCACTTGCCATCTTGTCAGAAAATAACGTGAAAATATATCATGTGCTGAACCTAGTACAAGGGGCACAATAAAGCCAAAACGAAGAGTAGCTGCTACAAGGTTAACTGAAACCTTGAAGACTAGTCGAAATATTGAATGCATGTTACAAAATAAAAACTTTAATAAAGAAAATTATTATGACAAAAAACTCAAGTTATTAGAAAGAAATGTTTTGGCAAAAGAACGAATAACTTGTGCCTTGGAAAAAATAGCAGAAACAAAGAAATTTTAAGGATTTTTAAGAGTGTTCAATATTTTTGCTTTAAGTTTTTTAATATATCATTATGTTATTAACAGTTGCTATTTATTCCTAATAATGAAACAACATTTATTCTGGAATTGCTTATTCTAGAAAACTTGCGTTGATCATATTTGAGAAATTGTCTATAATTTAAGGATTCAAAGGGATCCCCTGCCTCATTTTTCTACTTAGACCAAAAATCTCTTGGGACATTAATTGCTCTTCTTTCTGCCTCTTCTATATTGTTTAATTGGAAAAGTAAAATAGCTTCATCCATTTTAAGAAAGGTATATTAGTAATAATAATATATAAATATTATCATTTGAAGTAACTAGCAAATGTCACTGGTGACAGATTCAGTACAATCAGGTATAATTCATTACCAATATTCCCATTCCCATGCCAAATACCAGGTGTATTTGCTCCCATACTTTTCGTGCGAAAATATTCCTAGTGGATGTGTCGAGAATACAAAATATAAATTCCCATAGGAAAATTATCTTTTTCCCATGGGAAAAAAAGTCGAGAATTGAGGCCCAGAAGTCTCCGTTTTATTTTGAATCGTTCTTTGTAAGCTCTCTCTATATATTCGACTCATTCTTCGATGAATTTTCGCTACACTATTCCCTTCTGCCTGCAAGAAATGAACAACACTTCGCAATTTACACTTAGCAGGAGAATCAATACAGACAGCCATGTTTACGTGACTGCAGCTCAACAAGAAATGGCATGTTAGACCCGGCAGTGACTGTGTGGAAGGGGAGAGGCGCAGTCCAGTGTTGCCGTTTCGGTACAATTGTACTGAATTCAGTACGAAACGATTACAGTCAGTATTTAGTATAATTTTTTTTTAAAAACCACGAAATTCAGTACAAAAACGAAAATCAGAAAGATAACAAAATTTGCAGCATTTGGATACAAATTTATATTATAAATTTATTTTATTTTTCATTTTGGTCTATTAATTAATAATTAAAAGTGTAAATTATTAAATAGTGTGTGTACTGCCATCTATCAATAAGAAACCAAATAGCTTGGCTTGAAATTACAGAGAAATTAGGGGAATCACTGAAATAAACTTTGTGGTAGGTTTGGGTATTCTCCGTTCTCTAACTCCAATTTCAAGTTGCAATTTGTAATCGCAGCGGCATTTGTATTTATTGTTATTGTATTTCAATGGACAGGAAACAATAATTTACTGTCAATAAATAAGGCCTGTTTTCTCGTAAGAAAATATGTGACCTACACAAAGCCAGAACTAAAAATACGGTTCTGCTATATAAAAGAAAAAATTATATTCAGTACAGTTTTTCCTAATTTAGTACATTTTTCCCAATTCAGTACATTTTTCAAAAAAAATTCAGTACAATTTTAGAATTCGTCCCGGCAACACTGGCGCAGTCGCCTACTATGCACGCCAGTCACCTGTTGTATGCCTGGCCTTCATACTGTGCGATCGTAGGTTGAAAAAAAAAAACAGCCCTCGTATATAATGTGGAAGTCAATTTATTCATTTTCATTGTTATTTAGCAAAATTTCATTATTTTCAAAATAATCTATAATATTCTGTTGTTTTTTAGTAGGCTTGTGTCATTTAGAATATTTCTAATAGGACAAAGTATCTGTTATCGAATATTATTAAAATACTGAACATTTGAAAAATTTCATGTTGATATCGCTTTTCATTTGATATTTTTTAATTTCCTCCCCATTTTCAATCAACTTTTTTTTTTAATTAAAGGGCATCTTCCCCTTATAGAGCTTGATATTTGCTAAACATTTCAAGTTTATATTATTTTTCGTTTTTTAAGTTAAGGATTTTTTTAAATATTCCAACCCCACCTTAACCACCCCATTTTTATTAATAAGCTTCTTCTCCTTATAGAACTTGATTTTCTCTAAAAATTGCATGTTGATATTGCTTTTCATTTTTGATTGATTTTTTTTTATTTCAACCCCCCCTATATATTTAGATTTTTTCAGAATCAATAGTCTTCATCTTCTTATATTAATATTGCTTTTTCTTTTTGATTTATTTTTTAATTTCAAGCCTCCTTAAATTATCATTTTTAATAGGATTTTTTTCAAAATAAAAGGGCTTCTTCCCCTTATATAGCTTGATTTTTGCTAAAAATTTCAAGTTGATATCATTTTTCGTTTTTCATTTGTTTTTTTTTTTTAATTTCATCCTCCTTAACCCCCCCATTTTTAATGATATTTTTTTCAAACTCAAAGGGCTTCTTCCCCTTACAGAACTTAAATTCTGCTAAAAATTTCAAGTTGATATCATTTTTCGTTTTCGAGTTTTTTAATATTTCGACCTCTCTTAACCCCCATTTATATTCAGATTTTTTTTTTTTCAATATTAATAAGCGTCATCTCCCTGTAGAGCTTGATTTTTACTAAAATTTCATGTTGATATCGCTTTTCGTTTTTGATTTATTTTTTTATTATCTTAACCCCCCACTTATAGTCAATTTTATTTTTCAAAATCAAAGGGCTTCTTCAATTCAAAATAATTTTTCCTATTTTTTTTTGTTCAGTGATACCAATTATCTGCAAACTTTAGTTGAAAGAAGGCACATTACATAGGTTTTTTTTTATTAATTTTCCACTACATTAGTTAAGTTATTTTGCTGCTACGTTTACTCACACATCACATTTATTAGAATTAAAAATATGGAAAAAAACTGCAGTAATTTAGATTTAACTTACCAAATGGTAACCATTGCACTTCATACAAGATGCGACATCTCCTGTGATAACTATTTCAATATTAAACCAGTATTAATTGATTGAAGCTCTGTGATTTCATTTATTTGGTGTTAGACTTATTTTTATTAATAAAATTGAAACATTTTTATTATGACTCACAATGTTATTCATTTAAAAAAATTTCGTACGTCCATGGCATAGCATTTTAGATAGTCAACGCCAGGTACAAGTTATAAAAAGTATAATAAAAATTCATTAATACACACCATTAAATTTTTCTCGAGAGCTGTCGAGAACTTTATGTAAACTGATAAGATATGTGCCTAAAATGAATATATCAAAATAAAATTATTTAATATTTATTTCAACTTTTTTGTGGAGTTTATTGAATTTTTATGGTTGTGTATGTCTGTTCAATTTAGGGCATGTTCCTTCTTTAATAATTTTGAGAGCTGCTTTTATAATACATTAACTACAATTATATACGGATCATAATGGCAACATCGTACACACTCCCGTTTAAATGTCCGAAGTCAGACCTTTATTCTTACGGCATGAATGTAGTGTCTCATCTTGGAAATTTTTTAAAAATTCCAATGCAACTTGAACAGTCGCAAATTTGAGTTAAAACACGAACCAGATGTAAAAATTACACATAATTTAACAGCAACACCACCACCACATGTATTCTATTCAAAATTTAAGCCATAGTAAATTATGTTAGTCTGTTTCTTTATGTACAGCATACCCCAATATTGAGATGGTTAGTCAGAATTAGATGCACACTAGCAAATCTAAAAATGGGAGAAGTTATCTCAGTTAATGGCCGAATTTCGATAATATCGTTTTAGTGATCTATTTGTGTTCACTTGTGCAGTGTTGCCAAATTTATAAATTTTGAATTTTTACCAGTGAAGATCTAATTCTGACTTGCCATGTCAATCTTGTCATACTGCAAACATACATACATTTTAATTTTCTTGAAACGTCAATTTTCCATTGTGATAGTATAGCTTTGATGGTGTCATTTGTTGTACCATATTGGTATAAAGATTCGTCATTAGTACCGGCAATCGACAATAATACTTACAAAACAGAATACAATGTTGATATTATGCGACGCAAGAGGAATAGACATTCAAGATTTAAGAAAGATTGGACCTAACAATAAATTTTTGTATTCATATTTGTCTAGGAGCGTTAAAATCAATTTTTAATTTAGAACGTTACTTCTACTGCTTAATTATTATTTTTTTTATCAATTTAAAACGGAAAATATTTGTCAAATAAAAGTCACATAACGGTCCGACTAGAACTAATACCTCTCGCTGGTAAAGAATTGCTTTTGTTTGGTAGTTCTTTCGCATGCGAATGTGCTACAACTATACTTAAGCACTGCACCCATTCCTCGGCGTTTTTTCCATCTTTGGGTTTTAAAATCAAAGTTTGATTTTCCGTAAAAATTTCGAACGCTTTCGGAATATTTCTGGCACCTCTTGATACTTTTACCGATCGTATTTGATTGACGTCGATTGATTCACCACCACTCTGAAAGAGAAAATTAAATTAATTAAAACATGTTTTACTAAAATGAACTTATTTTACGATTTTTAAAAGCCAATTTAATATTAAATTCTCAAAAGTCACGCAGGATTTTAAATAATTAAATATAAATTATTATTTTCTATGTATAAATAGTAGTCTGGGAAAGTTTACCGCCACTAATTAATCGTTAACAGTTTACTGCCACTAATTGATCGTTAACAGTTTACTGCTACAGCAATTGATCACATAAGCAATTTATGGCTTTCAACTGATCGCTAGCATATTTTTCCAATAACTGTATCTTTGCCTTGCGATAAATATGCAAGCGATCAATTGTATGCTATACATTATTTATTCAATCATTTACCATGACGGTAAACAGCTAGCGATCATTTGCTAGGGGTGAATTGCGGAAGATAAAATTTCCGGATCCCGAAGAAATAGACAATCATATACCACTACATCAGTTTGGATGCTGAAAAAATGCACTAATGATCGTTAACAGTTTACTGCCATAGCAATTGATTGCATAAGCAATTTATAGCTTTCAACTGATCACTAGCATATTTTTCCAATAACCGCATCTTTGCCTAGCGATAAATATGCAAGCGGTTAATTGTATACTATACATTATTTATGCAATCAATTACCATGTCGGTAAACAGTTAGCGATCAACTGCTAGCGGTGAATTGTGGGAGATAAATTTTCCGGATCCCGTAGAAATAGACAATCATGTACCACTACATCAGTTTGGATGCTGAAAAAATGCATGACAATGCGCCCTTTATTAATTTTGACTTCCAATATTCAAAAGTGATGAACATTATTTGAATTGGTTATCAAGGTCTTAGAAAGCTTTTTATAGTTTTGCTTGCCTGTTTGTTGCAGCAAACCTGAAACAAACACTCTGAAAGCATGCGCAGTTGTGATAAAAACTGAATTGCAAGCAACACGCTGTATTCGTAAAGACACAAGTGGTGATAACTTTCTATAACTTCAGTAGTTACCCTAAAACAATGTAACTGACGTATTTGATAGAACTGACACTTAAGTCGTCATAAAAATTTGCTGTTTTACTAGATCACGTGGATACAGGTATTGTTGAATAGTCTGTAATTACGTATGTGTAAAACGTTATAGAAAGAAACGTCAATTCATACTTTAAATTATTTTTGTGAACAGTAAAATTCAAATAAATAAGGTTATGTTTCCTCAAATCATTAACTACTTAAATATTCGTTAATATTATGGAAAACATTTAAGAAATCGATAGAAAAACATGTAAAGAAAGTCCGTATACCAAAATAAAAATAACGAAGAAACAGTTCCTGAAATAACGCCGTACTCTATTGGATACTCCTTATAATGACGATTTTAAGGCTATTCATGTGGGTAAATTTAAAGATTTGTGAGTTTAGGCTGTTAATCTTCTAAAATTGTAACAATTATTGTCATAGCACTGAACAACTTTGGTCGATGGTTATTATTAAATTAAGCATTTTAGGTTTATCGCCAAAATTAGATTTTTTACAAATGTGAAAATTTTAAGTACATACACTGTTTATAGTGTTTTAATAATATATAAATATTGAGTACTTACCGATCCTCTACAACTTAAATGTGCTCCGGATAAGGTAAAATACCTCGTTCTCCATCGTCTAAAAAGTCTCCATCTCCCCTTCTTTTCTTTTAGTTGTCCTTCTATTACTGGTCTTGTGTCTCCCCTCAAAAATCCTACCGCCTTTTCAGGGTGTGCACATAAAAAACACCCCCAAATTACCCCTCCAATACTGGGAGAATCAAGTGTATCCGAAGGCGTGATATTTGAAGGGCAAACCTATAAAAACATTTTTATGTTATAAAGGATAATACAAATAAATGTTGTTTTCACAGCGTAGGTTCAATGAATAGTTCATGTTCACGTACATTAGTTTTCTTAGAGTACCCCTGGCTAAAGCCACAACATAATTAAACTTATAACGGTAATTATATAAAAGCAGGGGTTACTAACAATAAATTATAGTGTAATTACCTGAAAAACGTCAAAATATCCTGAATGCCTAAGTTCGTTCAAAATTGAATCTTGATCTTTCACACAAGGAAATGCGCTGGTTACCAAAGTTAAAAAAGTCTTGTTTTCACATTTTAGTATGTCCCAGCAGTGTTTTAAAGATGCTACTTGGGCATCCCGTGAACTTAAAGCATGTGAATTTCTAGCCTGAAAAATTATAATATATTTTATTTATTTATTTATTTGTTACACCACCCAACAGTAATCACCATTGACTGGGTGGGAAAGACAAAACATTAGAATATAAATACAAATTTGTTAAAAAGCTATACAATACAATGTAAACATCCAGAAAAAAAAACTGACCGAACACAGGATAAAAGAAATGGTTGTCTACATTGCATTAAATGCTGTACATAATTACTTTCCTATCTGTATCTGTATAGGAATCATGATTTCTTTCGACCTCGAGTTTTCGACGAATTTTTACGTTTTGAGGTCCCCTGAATCCGTTTTGACTATTTTCGCGATGATGTCTGTCTGTGTGTGTGTGTGTGTCTGTGTGAGTGAGTGCGTGCGTGTGTGTATGTGTGTTTGGGCAGAGTCGGAACATCTGGGGGGATACTTTATGGGTGGTCATTTTTATATTTTATGGAATATATCTGTTATTTACGTTTGGAGAAGAAAATTCTTCAAATAAAAGTTACTTCTAATATTATTATCTATAATTTTTGTTTCTTACAAAATTTTCCTAAAATGGTCCGTATTTGAGAAATTTGACAAAATGAAAAAAAATATTTTTTTATAAAAAAATTTCAAATAAAAGTTGTTTGTAATATAATTATCTATAATTTTTATCCTATACTTAATTTCTCTAAAATGGACCGTATTCGAGATATTTGAGAAAATGTGTAAATTTCGAATTTTGAAGAAAACTCAAAAACGAATAAAGGAAAAAACATTAAATTTTAAACTTAAGTTTTATTTCGGCCTGAGGTGAAATGATGAGATTTTAGATGAAGGCGGAACATCTGGGGGGGTACTTTATGGGAGGCCGTTTTTATATTTTATGAAATATTTCTGTTATTTACATTTGGAGAAGAAAATTTTTTAAATAAAAGTTACTTCTAATATTATTTTGTATAATTTTTGTCTTATGCAAAATTTCCTGAAATGGTCCGTATTCGAGAAATTTTACAAAATGTAAATAATTATGATTTTCAAGAAAATTGTTGAATTAAAAGATGTTTGCCATTTCGATCTCTAAAATGTTTGTTTTTTTTTTGACATGATTTTTCTAAAATGGACCATAATGGAAAAATTGGAGAAAAATTATAAAATTTATATTTTTCAGAATTTTCGAGTTAGATGTATGTGGAAATGTATATATTAAGTTAACCTCCAAATATTTACAAAGGTACAATATGTTGTACAAAATAGCCGAAAAAAGCCCGTAATAACAAGATAGGAAAGTCATGTGTTGAACACATCAGATTTTTTTTTTACATTGTTAAAGAAAAAAACATTTTTAATCATATATTTTTTACATGCAAAAATGTCCAAGCTGTCTTGAATTTTATGATATTTCTGAATAGATTGGTACATTGGAGATGAGTTCAAAACATTAGTTCTAGAAGCAGCCATGTAGAAACTCAAGTAAACTCTTAATCCAGCATGGGGGATTTTTAGATTAACATAATTTAACAAATCAATACTGTCGACTGAGCCATTTAAAAGATTATAAAGTAGGAGTACCTGTTTGCATAGATAGGGTATTTCCACATGAAACCAACCAATATATTATAACCTTTTGATGAATTATATTTACTTAATTTTTAAGATATTTTATTAAAAAACAAACCATGAATTTTTAAAATAACAGCTTCTACACAAGAGGACCCTGTATATGAGCGGTGGTGTAGCGGTCTATCGCGCTTATATTCATTTATAGGCAAGTTTATGAGTCTGAGACTGCTGGGTTTCGAATCCCAGACCAGACCATGTGGATTTTTAATTAAATTGCATGGTTCGGTTTAGGATTTGATGTGTGGCGTATTAATAGAAATTCAATTTCTGTTGATATGACATGCAGATTAAAAAAATTCACCATACATTACCGTCTCGATGATGGTGGGTGAGGTTTTCCGGGTTTTCCTCACCTGTAAGTCAAATGGCACCATCAATCATCTTTAAGTCGCCCCGGAGCGCCACGGCAAATAATAATAATAGCCGTCCCTTTCCCCGGACAAGCTCAGCTTTTGGGGTTAAAATTCACTCGTAAGGGGGTGAATTAGGGAGAGTATTATTATTATTATTATATTTTTAGTTGATTTTGGGTCTGATTGCAGCAATGTATCTCAGGTGGTGAAAAGTTTTATAGGGGATATACAAATTTAATAATAATAATAATAATAATAAACACATTATTAACACAATGAAAAATGATCAATTTCTTCACCAATGACAGAAGTGAGCATGTCAGAGTTGTCAACTAACTGAAAATCTTAATGCAAGTACAAATGTCATTTCAATTAAAGTGAATTTATTAAAAAACCTTAAATAAATAAGCGTATGACCACATATTGGTAGATACAAATCCCAAAACAGGGTATTTTCACCGTTACGCCTCAGCCACAGAAGAAAGAACGATACAGAAAAGAAAGTAATGGTCGGAACTTTGAAGTTGAAGGGATAGAAATATTTGACCTTCAGTTCCACCACAGAGAAAACGTAACTATGAAGACTATAAACGTAACTATTCATAGTACACGCGAACGTAGCTATTCACTGAACCTACACTGCGAAAACTACATTTCTCTTTAACAGAATTATCTGTCATATTTTATAAACCTAATCTTAAAGTCTTAAATGAACACTCCACAATTAAAAACAGCAACAAAAACTAAAAATAAACCATTAAAAGCGTAAAAGTTATTAGAATATTCGCTAAAACCCTAAAACCAACCAAAAATCCAAAACGACAGGCAAACAAATATTGACAGCGACAGTAGTGACAGCTTCGTTCATCTGCTACAAAAGTGTGCATTGTTGCACTTCGAACAAGTAACAAATCTACGATTCACTTTTGACAATGCTCCACCATAAAGAAGGTGTGGCTTCGGTTGCTAGGTTCCTGTTTTAGCCCTATGTTTCTTTTCTGTATCGTTCTTTATCCTGTGCCTCAGCTACAAGCATTTGTCCTACAGAGATCACGTTGCTTAGCTTGAATCGCCAATAGCTGTCTTTTCAGTGAGAACGATCCTGGGTATTAAATCAGCACTTACTTATCTTGTATTGTACCCCTCACAGTACAATAAGCCTAGAGCAAGTGGGCTTTGAACCACGCCCTAATTCAAATAGATATATACTTATCTTGTACAAACTATTTTTAACTATAAAATTTAGTTTGTACTCATAATTTAAGGCAGAAGAGATATTTTGGAAATTTTGAAAATTCAATACAAATCGAGGATAATAAAAATAAAATCAAAGCGAACATAAAATACAATTGTAATTTTTTTCTAATTGATTTTATGTAAAATTTTCCTGTAAAAATAACCATAAAAGCGACATTACCTGTAAAGAGATAAACATCAAATGTATCCACACCCTAGGATTCCTGGTCCTCATTGTAAAATAAGTCTTTGAATACAAGCAGTGCTGCCCTCTCGCCTGACAAGCGAAATGTAACTTTGCTGATTTTTTTTGCCTCTTTTCCTCAATGGTACATTTGGCGGGAGATGGTATTTGTATCGATACTTTTTCCATGTAACTTTTAATTTTGTCCAAATGTTTCTCGCAGAAATGTTGAATGGTGTCGCGCATCGGGTACGGTTCAAAAACACTCATACGTTGGTTCGCGACGGAATTTTGATTTATTAAAGTTACACTGGTATTATTGCGACGTGATATTACTGTAGTCGGACCTGTTACGTTTACATTTCCTAAAATAAATAATGAAACATAATTTTCATAGTTTTGTAGTGATAATTTTGAAAAGTGTATTTGGTAATCAGCAAATAATATATATTTACTTTGTTTTCAGATCAATAGCACATACTTTTTCGGAATATTAAACTGATCTATCATTAAATCGTGATCACTTATGATATTTATTTTTTAAGCCTTCAAAAAAATCCCAATATTAATTAATTGTAAAACTTAAAAAATCAGACTTTCTCAGTAGCAAAAAAAATAAACAAAACTCTCACCTGATGTGGCAATATTGTTAGAATTCACATTTTCTATCGTTGGCATAGGAGGAGGGGTATGCACTATACTGTTTCGAATAGGAATAGTTTGTGCAATCGAACCACTTACACCACTGGTCACAACCGAAACTTGTCCACTGGAAATTGGCCCTGTATAACCAGAACTTACCACTACTGCATTGGTTGAATGAATAGGTGGCGAAGTTAATAATATAGGACTTCCGGTTGCCTAAAAAAACACAAGAATAAACGTTAATGAAACCAAATTACAATACGTGATTTTTACATTAAGAAAAACCAATGATCTACAGTTTTATAAACATCTTAAAAATCCCCAGAACACATAAAAAAAATGAGACAACTGTATTGGTTGTTTAACAAAAAATATCACACCATGGCAATTCACGTATGAGGTCTGCACATTTATACAAATTGTATGGATGGAACGATGTTTTCAGAAGTGGTGTAGCTCAGTGCTACACTTTCGATGCAAAGGAAAAGGCCTGTTATAAGAGTAATTCAAAAATCTATAATACAAGGTGAGTTCAACATATTCACAACATGGAACACACGGTAAATGAATACTTAGCCAATCGACACATTAATATTATTAACTTATACTTACTTGGTGAGAGTGATTTCCTATAAAAGCTAGAGGTCCTTGGCTGAGGGGTCTTTGCATCCTAGGTGGAGATATAGTAGTAACTGTTACCCCACCGCTTGATACCCTTACATTAGGTGCCGTCCATTTACTTACACCTGTCACAATGACATTGTTGGACAGAGGAGGCACAGGAGTTGTATTTATTTGTTGAGTGGAACTGAGACCTGTCATGCTTTTGTGTAATCCACCTACGGAACCTAAAAAAGTTAGCATTAAATTATTATACTTATAGAGTTAGACTAAATTGGTCTTACCCCCAGCAATGTTAAGTTTTGTCATACTTCTATGTGTATTAATACTGGGCGCAGTGTGAAGTCTTCCAGTACTTCTCGAATCGCCTAATTTCGCCCTTCGAGTGTAGCCACCTGAAGGGGTAGTAGTGTGAACTCCTCCTACTTTAACTATAGTTACACCACCTGATGTAATTTGGCTCTGTGTGGTGGGCGTGGTTACTTGACTTATTTGATTCATGCTAAAAAAATAATGTATTAAAATATTTAATTCAAAATACTATTACAATAATCACCTAGTGTGATGTCTATGTCGAATTCCTAATAATACTTTATCAGTAAAAAGGACTGGATAAGAACTGCAAAGCAGTGTTGCTTCTCTAAGCAAGGCAGTCTGCGAACTTCTGTCAGCCTTAGGTAGATATTCAAGCACAAAGTTTAAGGCATCTTGAGCACGATCCTAAAAAAATAATTAATGTAGAAATTACATTCAACATGTCCTATCTGCTAAATCCTAGGTAGACACTCCCTGTATAAACCTCCGCTTTTAGCAAACAAAAATAATAAAGTACTGAATAGTCACTCCCTGTACAAACTAATTATCTAAACTTGAAACAACACGCTTGACTTTCAAATGACCGCAAGACACCTGTGTCTTCGCAAACAATTAATATGATCACGTACGCAATCATGTGATCTGGGACGGCCAATGAGAAAAAAGGCGGTAAAACCGTCGCTGGCTGGCGGGATTGTATCGGAGAAAAAACTTGCACTTTCGTTTCGTCAGTCGAACAACACACATCAAAAATAATGTCAACGCCGGCAGCAAGCCGAAATTTAAGTAAAACATTTGTGCTATTTGATTTAAAAAGTTGTAACATGTAATCAATTAATAATTTATGTAACCAAGTATTAATATGTAAAATGTGGAATCAGTAAGCCATGAATATATCAAATTCAAATATAAGGTGATATTTTCATTTGAATAAAATCACTGCATCAACCAGAACTTCGAGAGTATCTTCCAGAGGCTACAGGGTGAAGCATAAGGCCTTCACCTCAGGTAACATATTTCAAACATAGTCATACAGTCCACCATGATCGAAGGCAGTAAATGTCAAGCCTTATAAACCCAGGGTAAGACAATTAATATAGTTCCTAATACTTGCCGACTCATAGCTTAGCTCAGCTCAGTAGCTGTAAATATACATATCAATCATTCAAGTAGGCTTGATAAGTTTAAATATTCTTAAAATTTAACCTTGTGGAAATAGGGATAGTTTAAATATTGATTTGTAGTTTGTAACTTAAACGGTTTCACTGGAATTCTTAAAAATATATGTTAGTTCCCAGTTGTCAAGAAACATATCTGATAGTTTGAAAATTAATTAAAAGGTAGGCTAAAACAGAGCCGTCTTTTAATAACTAATTCAAGTTCGGTTCTGTAGGTAATGATCACAGATTTGGATAGAGGAGATAGGAAAAGGCCATTTTCCCCGGTGTTTCAAAATAAGCACACCATGTAGGCCGCCATGTTGGCAATTTAAGCGTACAACGCACATGCGCAGTTGTTGTAGTGTTTTGACATAAGTGTCATTTATGTCCACTAGTCTTGATTTTTTTCGAAATTCGCTATTTTAGTGAATTTAAAAGAGTTTTAGAAGTTTTTACTATAGACAATTAATAAAATGGGAAATACTTGCTTTGTTTTTGGTTGTTTAAACAACGAGGATTTAGAAAACATTACATTCCACAAGTAAGACATCTTTTCTACCAGAACCGTATTATTCACGACATTTTTAGACTATATTTTCATTTTCTAGAAAACGAAATATCATAGTACAATAACAAACTGTATGTAGGTATCTAACGTTGATATTGCTGTAATTTTTTTTAGATTGAGGAAAAGGCGTATGCTTCTTGGTTAATAGCTATTGGAAGAAATCATTGGAAAATATAAGTGCAAATAACGCTATTTGTTCCTCCCATTTTCATAAAGATGATTTAATCGTTTCAAAACGAATAGATACAATAGAAAAATAATGCAATACCTTCCATAAATATGCCTAAAATTGAAGATTTTTATAACATTAGTGTTATGAGGTAAATATTTATACATAAAATTATTAATTTGTTTATTTTTATAGTTTCTAAGAAAGTATAAAAAATTGTTAATTATCCCTATTATTTTTAGAAATTTACAACCTTCAGCTTCAACGAATATTATTAATTCAGAATCTAAGGAGGAATTATAGAAGTTGCCAGTTGGTTATTTTTTATTATGGGTTTAGATGGTAATGGAAGAAGAATTGTGGCGTTATAGGCTCTTCTAAAATTGCATGAATATGGAGTTATCATCACCTAATTATCATTTGATGGACTTACAATGATAACATTAGGTGTAAACCTATACAACTTTGATATTGACACTGCAACTCCATATTTCTTGCATTCGCCATAGATAAAAGTATATTTTTTATAATTTTAGATGCATGTCACATACTTAAGTTGGCTTGGAATAACTGGGATACTCTTACTATAATTGTTGAAACTAATGGCGAAATTATTGATTTTAATTATATAAAATTGTTGCATTATATTTAACAAACAGAAGGTTTAAGTTTGGGTAGCAAATTAAGAGTGGCCCATATGGATTGGAGAAAGACATGAAGGTTTGTACACTTAAATGAATTTAGAAATTACAAATACTAAGTAACATTACTATTAATTGTATAAGGACATTTGAGAAACTGTTCGATTTACTAAATTCTCGAAATCTTTTTAGATTTCAATGGAAAATGCCTTTGTTTCAAAAAACGAAGACTATATGGATGTCTGGAATATAAGCTGCAATAGAATATATAAAGAAACTTAAAACCTTTGACAGCAGTTATGTTATTCAGTGACCGAAGAAGAATAGTGGTGTTCTAGACTTTATTTTATAAAGTTTGTAATAGGTTTATATGAGAAATATGTAAACTATCTGTTAATATATAAACTTAGTACAGATCACTTAGAGCTATTTTTCTGCAGTATATGGAATAGAATTAGTTTAATTGTATGATGTAATTACATTTTATTTCTAGGGGGTGGGTATGGATGGAACAATAATCCTTTATCTGTAAAAAATTTCCATTCATATAGACTACGATTACTTTTGTACCATGACATTAAGAATCTTAATGGCTATTGTATTCTTTAGGACCCCATCAACATTTTACAAATGACACTAAAAAGTACAACAACAGTACCTATAGTTTATTACCACTTTCTTACTAAATATAACTGAGAGAAACTTCAGAAGATTTAAAGTTCTTGTATAAGATGTACTTGTAATATTCCTTATAGAAATCATGTTTCTCCATACATTCGCAGGTTAAATAAATAGCTAAATTCATGAAAGGGTAAAATATCTATTTTTAATTTTTTATTTAATTTTAATGTTTAAAATTCCACAATATCTTACTAAAAAGATCAACTTTACACAATGTAAATTTAAGAGTGAAAACTTTTACAACCCCAATGCATAGAACTTCAAAATCCAAGGTTGTTTTAGATACGTAGCACCATTATTGTTGAATTCAGAACTTAATAATTTGAATTTTAATCATTTTGTTGACTATTAGAAGTTCTTATTTCAAGACAATGATTTAATTTAAAATAATGATTGTGTGAACATTTTTTCTGTTATAATGAGGATCAATTGAAAAAAGGCTCAGCCGAATTCATTCATTTCGAGACACTAATGTATTTATAGTTGCTCAATAAACATTATTTATTTATTTAAATATAGTGATGTTCACATTGTCAAAAAATGTACAGTATGTTAAGCCGACGCATCAGGCGTAATAAAGATGAGACATTTAATTGTATTTGGATGTGAGAGCGATAAAGATAGTAATTGATTTTACCATAACCTTTCGATGGCAAGCATGAGTTATTGCGGTCCACACAAATAATACAGATCAGTGGTCCACACTCATTCATATTATTCTATTTCTCTCTATTCAATGGCATTGTGTTCCATACCGTTTTCCTGGAGCCAGGATGGAAAAGTTAAATTACTGTATGTTAGAAAATAATTATACAGAATGTAATTAAGTTGTTAGATATTTCAGAAAACATTGTTTATATTGCAAAAAAATGATAAAATATTCTGCTGGCCAAGATCCACTTTCTAGCGCAACAGCTAATAAAAATTATTGAAAATATTTTTAGAAAAAATAGGGTAATATAACAGTTTCGGCTGTAAGTACTAGTGTAAAACTGTCGAATTATCTTTAAAAAAAGTATTTTTAATCACATAATCAATTACCTGCTAAAAAATGTTAATTTTCAATTAGTTTAAAATAAAAACTTGTTTCGAGAAATCAATAATCATAATTATGAGTATCTACCCTTATTTATAGGAAAATCACATATCAAGACATTGTTCAAACACCAATGAAAATTTAAAAAACTAAATTTGTATTTTTTGTTCCTTATTAACTTTTATTAAATAGCTTTTTTTATTTATAATTTATTGGTGACATTTTCTAATGTAATATAAATGTTTTAAGTTTAATAACAATGTTATCGTAATATATTTACTGTAGTAGTTATTACACAAGATAAAAAAGTAAAACCCTTCGCACTTGGCAAAATCGAAGCTTTGTTACTACTTATTCTCTCACAACCTCCGTCCATATAAGTGGGTGAATTTACCGCCTTTTCAGATTCCTTTAGTGACCGAAATCGAGAATGTCTATTCCTTGCTGATGAGTCCTAATAAGGACAAAACTGGTCCAAAAATAACGTTATCTATGGTAAGCAAGATCAAAGTTTGAATATTGAAATATGAATTTTTTTAACTTTGTTGTTTTCTTTGTTCTTTTCAATGTCTGCTGCGGAATTAGCCAAAGAAGTAGTTGTTTTTCGAAGGGAAACGTTAAAGTTTGGATTTATTTCCCTTTTTTAATAAGATATTTGACTTCTTATAATAGTTTTAAATTTATTCTATTCTTTAGTAGGAATATGCCCATAATCTCTTATTTATTTTGATAGATGATTCTTGATGTATACTCAAGTGCATGCCATAGAGTACTTTGGAACGATATTACAAATATATTTGAATTCCTTAGTTTTGAAGTTTTTAATAAAATACTTTCAAGATCTGAGCAATCAATATTCCCATGTAATAATTACATACAAAATGATAGTTTTTAATATGAAAGTTCTGTGATTCCAGATTTATTTGCTACAAAATATATGACGGCCTTGGATTGTTGTATTCATTTCATATAAAATGGTATTTTAAATATATTCTGTTTTTATTTAATTTAAAATAAAGTTTCAAAAAAGACTATGATGTTTTTTATTTTTAGAAATCTCTTAAAATCCATAAAAAAGAAAATTAAAATTCTATTACGAATTTTTAAGGTTATTAGTTCTACTGTGTAAGTAAATGCTTAATATTTTCGAATTATGTTTAAATGTGTTAGTCCTATCCTGTACACTTCAATATACAATCAATGCGCAAGTGCGTGGGTCGCTTTTTTTTTAAAGATGGCCGCCTTCAATTCTACGTGCCTGATGAAAATGACATTTCCTATCTCCTTTATCCATGTCTGTGGTAATGATTATAATATACAGGTTAAGAAAAAAGTATACAAGTTATAGGGTATAGGCATGGCGAAAATAAAACATTATAAAAACACACGTGTTTTGTGAAGTGGCTATACAGGGTGATAAATCATTTAAAAACAATAATTTTGAAGTTAATTCGTTTAACTTCTAACAATAATTTAAAGACGTTATGCGATTGTTGTTTGCTTACCTTGCTCAGTTTTCCAACGGCACTAATAATTTGAGCAGCAGAGCAAATAGTTTGAGGATGTTTTTGAGCACACTGTTTAACGGCATTTATGTGATCTACGAGCAATCCTGGTATTTTGTCTGCCATATGAATGAAGACTTCTAAGGTGGGACCTACAGTTCCTGGGTTGCTTAAATATTCGCACAGTTGAGGAACACTAGCTTCCAACAACTAAAAAAATAGAAAATAACAATAGAAGGGGCACTTTTTTATTTTAAGTAAATGATTCAGTTTCATGAGCAATTTGAATTTGAAATTGACTGGCAAAAAAGATAACATTTACTGGTTGCTGAGGATAAGTAAAATTTACTATTTTTTAACTACGCTTTTTTTATTGTTGAAGAAAATTGTTTAAAGGATTTCATATCAAGGATTGTATGTTTTCTTGTACAATAGTTAGGACTTCCCTAGTAACATATTTCAAATTACAGTGTTCGTCACAGCTTTCATTTCAGATGGAGCATCACTATCACCTTCAAGTTCGAAAGTCTGATCAGTCAGATAAAACCTCAGATAAATAAATAAATAATAGATACAGCCCTATCATGCAATATTTGTAACCAGCATCTCCTCTCACTATATAGCAGTGGTTACACGACTTGATTGGATATTCGCTATTTTGGTTACACACCTGATTGGTTAGCAAAAAATTGACAGGACTACGTTAGTTAGGTTAGTTATTTTATGGTTATTTTGTGGTTCATGTTGAGTTTATTTCGTACTTTAATTGAAAAATTTTTGTGGTTTAAGTTATTTTAGTGCATTTAATTGCTTAAAAATGCCAGTGTGCTCGAGAAAGTATCTCAAATTCAGTTCGATAACGTTTCATAGGTAAGTAAATAAAAACCATTACCGTTGCATCACACTTTTTTGAGGGGTATCATAATTCAAAATAAGGTTTAAACAACAATTTATTTTAAAGTTTAAAATAACATTCAACGTCGAATTTCGAATTATTTTATTATGCCTGTGTTTAATAACTTTAATTTATTAATAGGCTATCTTTAAATTAAAGTTATATTGTTATGCACACTGTACATTTAAGAAGGCTCTAGTGGCATTTACTTTAGTTATAAAATCTTAGTATTGCTTTATTTTAATGACAAAATATATTGTTAGTACACCATAGTTATTTTAAAGTATACTATGTTGCATTCTGTATTACATGAAATCCTATATACCTACCTATATGAATAAGAAAACACTATTTATACCTATTTAGGTTTCCAAAAGATCCTCAAACTAGATATATGTGGATGAAGAGTTTGGGTATACATGAGGATGAAGAGTGTATTCAGTAGAATTTGTTCAAGACATTTTGAGGATTCTGCCTTTGCTAAGTCTCCAGGAGGAAAAATGTTTTTAATAAAAGGAGTAATGCCCTTATTTTACTCACATCCTGAAACTGTTCCTCAACTGGAAACTATGTCACATTCTAAACCTTCTACATTTGAACAAAAACTATAAATAATAAAAATGTTTTTTTGTCTTTGTTTAATTAATTTGAATATTGAAAGTATTAGTACGGGAACCAATAAATTTTGTAATTTTTTAATTACCTATTCATATTTTAATAACACAATAATATATGTAATTATTATGATATGATTTTTCTTATTGTCTAAATTAAAATAGGTTTGATTTATCTCAAGTGAATGTATATTATATTTACTTATTATATAGTTACACGTCACATAATTAATTTAATTTCTAAATTGTGTAGTAGGAAAATGGTTGCCAGTCGCATCATTCTGAAAATATCTAATTCGTATTCTTGGAGACTAAGTCTTTCAAAGTCATCCGTTTTTTCCACAGGTACAGTCTGAAGAACATCTAAAGCATCCCCTTGAAAGGCGATGCATTTACTTACTTTTCTCGTTCAAACGTCCACGACGAGATTAAAAAATAATTGGGCAGTATAAGAACCGATAATTGGATCAATCTCTTAAGGCTAAGACACGCTAAGATACTTCTGGGTGAATATAACCAGGAAACCATTGCAGGAAACATCGGAAGCCTGTGTGAGATCTGTATACCCATTTATAAATGGTAATGTTAGTACCCGTGACGCCATCTATGTTTCAGCTTCATATAAGTTTCTCCTTATATCACAGTCATCTGTAGTCTGTGACCCCGTAGGATTATAGATCGTACGTAGATGCCGCCACGAGTACTAAATAAGAGTCAGATGCGCATTGTCTTGTATTACAAGTTCGTATTTCATCTTGAGTTTTGTCTTGTATTATAACCATTACTGAATTACTGTGTTTATCAGAATACTAGAGAATAAAAGCTTACAACAAGGTGTTGTTTTATTGAGTAGTGTATAAATAAGGCATACATCACAGCCTGCATCTGCCTGAGCAAGAACAGGCTTCTTATTGTAACAGGGATCCTTACCGGGCATTATCGACTTAAAGGACACTTTAGTAAACTAAGAGTAGTAGAGGATAGTGAGTGCAGATTCTGTGAGGAGGAGGACGAAACCTCCATTCACATTCTAACTAAATGTGTAGTACTCCAGAATCCAAGGGCACTATACCTAGTAGGAGGATATCAAATAGAAAAGAGAGAGATATTTACCTAACACGAACCCAGACAACACACCAAATCCCAGAGATATCCACAGAATATCTATTGTGGATATCCAATATATCCACAGGATATCAGAAATATTCCATGGATCTAATATGGATATCCAAATGTCCGTCTATATCCAGAATATAGAAGATATCCTATGGTTATTCAGCAAAATATCAAATGAGTATCTTCCAGACAATACAAGAAATCCCAGAGATATCCACAGAATATATTTTGTGGATATCCAATATGGATATAGAATTCAGATATTCAGCAAAATATTTTATAGGTATCTTTAGTAGAGGTTCATAAGTAACCAATGATTATTGAATAACGTCGAAAGAAAATAGAGATAAAAAATATTTCCAACAATCTGCCTTTGATTTTGCCCACTAAAAGGGCACTAAGGAGAAAGTCATGCTTATTAGGACTCTTCAGCAATAAATGAAAATTCTCGACAAATCTCGACTCCAGTCTCTAATAGAGTCTGATTGTGAAAAAAAAAATTCGATCGAACTCATTTACGGAGGGTTGAGCATGAGTAGATACGAAAGTGGTATCGCCATCTATACTTAGGAAGCAAAATCAAAAATTACATCTAGTAGATATCCACGATGGTTTGCGTCCGCGCTTAGACTTTGATATATTTATATTTATAGTGGATGTCCATGGGATATTGAATACACCTTAAAAAAATTAATTTTAAATATCTGAACGGTACTATTAGCCACAAATGGCGAACACAATGGCGTAATTTTTTAATAATTTGCTATATAATTACTATTATTTATGGACATTTGCATGTCTATAAATTACATTTCATGGATATAAAATAGATACCCACCATGGACTGGACATTCAGTGGATATTGGTAGTGTTCAGTAGATATTCAAAGGATTTGGTGTGCTGTCTGGGAAGCCACTCCAAATCCTACACTTCCTTGGGAAGATAGGATTGGAAGGGTCGTTATAGGCATTGAGACATTTCCTTGGTGCATTAGCGACAGTAGGGGCACAATAGATCTTTTAGGTCGCAGTGTATTAACACCCCATCCCAACAACATCTCAAGTGAATGTATATTATATTTACTTATTATCACGTCTCATAATTAATTTAATTTGTAAATTGTGTGGTAGGAAAATTGTTGGGTTTTATTTATCTGTAGTTAATGAATATTAGTTTTAGTTATCTAGATACCTGTCACATAATTATTTGATTTATAAATTAGGTATGTGAAAGGAAAATTGTTGGCAACTAAATTATTATTATTATAATCACCCCATTATCCATTATTAAACCAAATGAGTACAATAACACAACTTCTCTAAAAAATTGCTTAACGATGTTCTATTTCTAACTGACAAGAATTCATCGAAATTAAGTTTTATTATTCAAAATATTGTGTATTAGAAAACCTTGGCAATATTTTAAAACGGTAATTATGAACTTATCATTTATTACATAAGTATCGCTTTATTCTAAACTGTTATTATAACATTTGTCTTTGTTTTGTTTTCCAGATCTAACCCAACTATTTAATAAAATGAATTACATACCTATTATAAAAATTGTTTTTTTAACCCTACTTTCCCAATTATTAAAAACCATAAATATTTTGTGCACAAAATTTAATTAACTTAAAAGGGACTAACAATAAACAGATACTTTATTCTATTTTTTATTACATATATAAGCGGTACTCATAACAAATCAATAAAAATAATTTACAAAAGAATCGATATTATTAAAAAATATTAGTACAAAAATTTAGAATTTATAAAACTTATCATTGCAACGTTTATTCAAATTATTTGTGTATAAAAATAATGTATGTTTTTAATTTAAAAAATATATGTATTGGTCGACTGAAAAATTCATTTTTGACGGTTTTCTATAAACATCTCATATTAGAAACATTGATCCATTGAAATATCTCAAAACTAATAAAATAATATAAATCAAAAGCATTTCTATTGACATTTATTTGATACGCTACTGGATAATAAAACTAACAAACCCCGCTCTTCCCCTCCTAACAACTGGCTTGTATATGTTGCTTTCAAACAAACGCAATGTAAATTTTTGACATTCAGTTATCTATTATTATTATTTATCTGAGGATAAAACTCACTGCCATGAATAAAACTGTAGAAATTGTTTGACAGTTCAAACTTCAAAACGACTACATAAAAATTATAAAATTTCCATGGTTACGAAATACCGCAATAAAGCAAAAGAAAACTTTTACTTATTGGCATTATTGTTGTACAGTTGAACAAATAAATATTGTTTATATTCCGTGGCGAAATTAGTGTTTTAAGATGAATTCGGATTAATTTTTACCAAAAAAATTACTTAATACAAAAATAACTAACTATATATGTTGTAAGTAAACTTTCTATTTGTCTTGTTTTAAATATTGCTTACCGTCGGGTTATCTTTTGCCATAAGAGTAAATAAATTCAACAAAGCTAATTTTTCTTGATTATCACAGTGAGGAAGAAGAGAAACTAAGGCCATAGCATGGCCCTGGAAAGGTTCAGGTGCAACTTCATAAATATTAGGAAGAACCCTGCATAAGGGATAATTTCCTAAAAAAAAATTTTTAATTTGTATTTAAAACTTTAAATGGTAAATGTGGTGCATACCTGAAATAATAGAGTCCATAATAGGCTGAACATGTGGAGTAAGTAAATTTGCATGTTCCATAGCTGCCAAAGATAAATATGAAGCCATATTTCTTGATAATTCTTTGTTTCCCTTATGCAAAAATTTTACAGCTACTGGAAGTGCCCTTTGCATCACAGATTTTTTACTGTAGTTCTATAAAAGGAAGAAAGTTACCAACGATATTGCACAGTACCGATGCTAAACTTGAAAAATATATTAAGTGATAACATAAATGTAAAGTGCAAAAAGATGCCAACCCACAATATACCAGATAATAAAATACACCTTTTGCATTCTATAAGAAGCTACCAAGTTTCATTTAATTACATAGCCTATAAAACTATAAAATGCTAACCCTTAACCTATAGCTTTCTTAAACGAACAAAAACTTTAGAGCTGATTATCTTAGTTTGTCACTATTGATGGTTGGTAGCGTTCTGCTTAATGCCGTCCAAGTAACTACCAGAAAATATGGTCGCCAATAAAATTATTTACTAAATTACTTACTAAAAATATGCATGATATTATATCAGACGATATTTTAGCATGAGGAGTATCTTCATCTCGTGCAGAAGCTTGTAAATTGTGATGAAGACAAGACTCTAGCAATATTACCAAAGCTTCACAATGCTGTTCAACACTTCCCGTTTCTCTTATACATGATGTGACTCTTGTAACACATATTTCAACAACACTCTGATCATTGTCATTGTTGACATAATCTGGGAGAGATGCTATTATTGTTATTTCTTTTAGCTAAAAAATAATAATATTTTGAACTATTTACATAAACTATTGAAAAAAAAAAACCTTTTTTTAAGAAACGTTTGTTCAAAATGTTTAATATAAATGTTTGATAACACAAAAATAATAAAATATTAAAAGTTGAAAAAATACTGAACTCAAAAATACATATATTATTTTATTTATTGCCTAACAAAAAATACAATAATTTAATAAAAAGATGTAAATAAACTCCAAGTTAACTTGAAGTAAATAAAGTGTGTGGAGTCAGAGCTGGGCAGGGTACTGCGTTAAAGTATTCATGAGTACTTCACAATGAGTAGCTTTACAAAGTATTTATAAGAATCTGAATATGAGTACTTATATGAATAATACTCAAAGCAATACTTTTGCAATACTCGTGAAAAATTGAGTAACAAGCATGAGTATTTTAAATAATTCAAGTTTAGAAAGAATGAATTATAGTAAAACGTGAGTATCACTTAAGTACATGTATGCCCAACTTCTCCATTTTAATGTTAAAGTAAACTAATAAAGGTATTAGGTAGGGGCAGAGGTACAGATAGAGAATACTCAGAAGAACCGTCATATATTTTAAAATATATATACACATGTATATTGTCATGATTCCATCATTTGTCATATGTTTCTATGTTTTCAGTCCTGTATCCTTGTAGGCGATAAGTTATTTGGAATTGCCTTAGGGTTGTGACGGCGATGACAGTGAGATTTTTAAAATTAGGCATTCCAAACTGAATGGCTACCAGTGGGTTCTGACGGGTTATGATATGGCAAAATTATGGCAACCCTGTAGGCCTGGTGATTTGACAAGGTCAATGAAATAGATAGTTACATAGATTGATCATCCATATTTTTCAAAATAAACATAAGCTTATGCCTTGAAGTAAAAATGTAAGCAATTATTTTTTTTAAATATCTAAAGGCTAAAAATTGGTTTTAAAACACATTTTTGCTAAACCGATTCAAATTAATAAATATTTTCCAGGCAATATGGCCGCTCGTAAACGACCAGCTTTGAGCAATCTATATAACTATATATGTATCATTGACCCTGTTAATGACATGACAACAGGGTTGCCATATCTAAACTGTCATTACCCACTGGTAGCCATTTGGACAGGTCGTTGGAATGCCTAATTAATAGAATTGTCAGACATATTTTGGGAAGATTGTCAGAGGGTTGTAGAATTGTCAGTTAGGAAATTAAAAAAAAAAACAATCAGAAAATATTCTATTGAAGTTAAAATACATTTTATATCGTACAAATGAAATAAAGATACGTGTGAATAGAATGACAGGAAGGAGAGTTCAGCAAAAGGAGGAGTAAGAGGAAAAAGTAAAGGAAAACAGCAAGAGGAAAACAGGTAGGAGAACAGGAGGTATAGAAAGCCAGGAGTTAGAGCAGACAGCAGAAGAACCGGGAGCAAGAAGAAAGAAGCGAAGCAAAAGATTTATATTTTTTTCAAATTCAAAATTGATCGATTAGTTATTTTTTTTTTTATTTTTGTAACAATTCAAAGGAGCCACAACGTTTTCGGGGTAGAACCATTATAATATATATGCACGTCTGTTACTCATTACACATCAGCTAGAGGAATCAGAAGTATTGAGTACATTAAAATGTAAAGTACTTGAATTTTTTTTTGTCAGTCCCATCAGGATGAAAGTACTTACGAGTACCAATTACTGAGTACTTTGAGTACTCGAGTACTGCCCATCTCTATTTGGAGTATAGCATTCCATTTAAAGGCTAGATAGGTATAAAGTGACATTATTTTGAAAAGTAGAAAGTGGGACAATCCAAAACATGAAGATTTTTTGACGAATTCTGTTTAAATATTTAATGTGTGTTGTCACCAGCTACTTTGCTTAATATATTTAAGAGGAAATTAAAAGGGTACATGTTAAAACAACAAAAGAAGTAGTGTAGGAACCTGCTAATACACTTTTTTTTATTCATTGTGTTGTTGTTATTTGTATATTTAAATGTATATAGTTTTTTATTGTAATTTTTAAATTTTATTTTTTTTTTTAACCTAGATTAAGACTACTGCATTGTTATATTTGTATTAGCTTGCTGCTAAATAAACGATACACATATTATGCAAATATCTTAGAAACTACAAAAAACATGAAAAAAATTTTAGTTTTAAAAGAGGTGACAAATGAAAACCCTAGGAAGACAGCAGAAATAAATATTGTCAATCATGAAACTAATGATACCTTCTCTTGTACCAAAGATATGGCCAATGTTTGTAATAAATATTATAAAGTTGGCATAAAATTAGCAGAAAAAATTGATATCCCTCCTACTAACTATAAAATAAATTATCCACAAATAAAAGAGTTAATGTTTCTAAAACCGGTCGACAGAAATGAAATTATCTCTCTTATCAAAATCTTAAAAGAAAATAGTTCTCCTGGAATTAATCAGATAACATCTAAATTAATAAAAAAATATCACAACTCTATTTTAACACCCCTTGTTCACATTAGTAATTTAATATTTGAAAGTGTAGAAATTCCAGAACAACTCAAAACATCAATCATTTCTCTGATATACAAAAATGAAAACAAAAACCACATAACAAATTATTGATCCATTAATCTCATAAATACCACAGCAAACATTTTTGAAAAATGTTTAAAGGTAAGATTGCCCAGACAACACACCAAATCCCAGAGATATCCACAGAATATCTTTTGTGGATATCCAATATATCTACAGGATATCAGAAATATTCCGTGGATCTAATATGGATATCCAAATGTCCGTCTATATCCAGAATATAGAAGATATCCTAATGGATATTCAGCAAAATATTTAATGGGTATGTATCTTCCAGAAAATACAAGAAATCCCAGAGATATCCACAGAATATATTTTGTGGATATTCAATATATCCAATATGGATATCCAACCAAATGTCCGTCTATATCCCAGGATATAGAAGATATTCGGATATTCAACAAAATATTTTATGGGTATCTTTAGTAGAGGTTCATAAGTAACCAATGATTATTGAATAACGTCGAAAGAAAATAGCAGAAATAAAAAATATTTTCAACACTCAAAATATTTTCAACACTCTGCCTTTGATTTTGCCTACTAAGGAGAAAGCCATCCTCCAATAAATGGAAATTCTCGACTCCAGTCTCTAATGGAGTCTGTAGGACAAAAATTTCGATCGAACTCTATTACGGCGGGTCGAGCATAAGTAGATGCAATAGTGGTATCGCCATCTATACTTAGAAAGCAGAATCAAATAACATCTAGTGGATATCCACGATGGTTTGCGTTCGCGTCTAGACTTTGATATATTTAGTGGATGTTCATGGGATATTGAATACACCTTAAAAAAATTAATTTTAAATATCTGAACGGTACTATTAGCCACAATGGCGAGCACAATGGCGTAATTTTTTAATAATTTGCTATATAATTACTATTATTTATGGACATGCATATAAATTACATTTCATGGATATAAAATAGATATCTACCATGGACTGGACATTCAGTGGATATTGGATGTTCAGTAGATATCCAAAGGATTTGGTGTGCTGTCTGGGTAATTCCAATAAGGCAGCTGATCTTAGACCAATCAATATGCTTTGTACTATTGAGAAAGTATTGGAAAAAGTTGTTGAATATCTAGAAGGGAATAAATTATTAAATAGTGTACAGTTGGGATTTAGAGGTAGACATAGTTGCGAAACAGCACTGCAGTATGTTTTAGATGAGTGGAAACATAACCATAATAATAAATTAATAACAGGCGCTGTTTTTTTAGATCTTCAGCGGCCATTTGAAACTGTTAACAGTTCTTTACTTATTAGAAAACTAGAAAGTTTTGGTATCATTGATGCTGCTTTAAAATGGATGATAGGATATTTAGATAAGAGAAAACAGAAATTGTGTGCTGTCTGGGTGAATGATTATCTAATGAAAAATGACATACTAAGTGAAAACCAATATGGGTTTTAAACAAAAAACGAGCACTTGTGATGCAATGATTGAACTGGTAAATCAAATTAAAATTAACCTAGACAAAGGTAATAAATGTGTAGCAGTATTTCTTGATCTGGTAAAAGCCTTTTACACAACACCTCACGATACAGTCTTAAATGTTCTAGAACAATATGAAGTGAGAGTATTGTGTTAAAACTTCTAAAGAATTATCTACTTCAAAGAAAAAAAATGTTTAAAATGAAAGATACGCTAAGCGAACCAGAAGAAGTAAAAGTAGGCGTCCCCAAAGGAACTGTTCTTGGACCAACTAGGTTTTTAGTAGTGATGCCGCGAGACAAGACGAGACTAGAGATAGGCCTCTCTCGTCTATCACAGTCGTTTTATTTAGACACTATTTGACATAAACAATTGAAATTTAAAGTAATCAGTGGCCAAAATTGGGCGTTAACTAAGAATGTTTAGCAGAGAAAGAAGTTGGAAAGACTTTCAGTAGGTGGAGAAGGGGTAAACGTCAAACCACGTCGAACGATAATTTTGCAGTAATGTTTTCCTACCAGTGTCGTTTCATAGAATAAGAACTGGACAATCGCATTTATTTATGGACTATAAATAATTATTAAACATGTATTATAATACCCAAATCATAATTCTACAAAATTTCAACAGCTATTCACAATTTATTAAACTATTTACTCGAAATTGTTGTTAACATCTAAAAAATAATTTTGTACGCCAATGTATCGCGTCCACTTCGGTTAGATCCGCCGCAAACCTGTCAAGTTATGTGTATGTGTATGAACTAGCAAAAGCCTTTCCAACTTCTGCCCCTGCTATAAATACTTTGTCTTAGAAGTCAGTTGGGAAGGGGTAGGGTTTCATTTGGAAGTTAGAATTTTTTTCATGTAATATCAAATAAAAGCAATTTGAAGCATGTTAACAATATATTATACGTTCGTTTCTTTTATTTTTTTCTTTAACAGTTTTTCGAAAAAACACTTAAAAATTATTGTCTTTTTAA